TTTATAAGAGTTATAATTATTCAAAATGTTGACCCTTGTGGGGGAGGTACCAGAAGGAATGGTCCAATTTCTACCGTTTTTATAACAGATCCTGTGTTGATGGAAATATTCAGATGTGCCAAGTCTGAATGGAATCGGATGATAATTTCGTGTTTCATGACCTTCATGAATATTCAAAATGTTGACCATTTGTAGGGGAGGTACCAGAAGGGGTTCGTAGATATTTCCCAATTTCACACCAGACCTTTGTGTTAAAAAAAAAATTGGAATGTGTGTAATTTGAAGAGAACCGGATGCTTATTTCAGATTTTATGATCGTTTTGGTTATTCAAAATTTTGACCCTTTGTGGGAGAGGTACCAGAAGGAATGGTCCGATCTCTACCATCTTTATAACAGATCTTGTGTTGATGGAAATATTGAGATTTACCAAGTCTAAATTGGAATCGGATGATAATTTCGTGTTTTATGAGCTTCGTGAAAATGCAAAATGTTGACCCTTTGTGGGTGAGGTACCAGAAGGAGTGGACCGATATATTCCATCTTCACACAAGTCCTAGGGTTAATAAAAATATTGTAATGTGTGTAAATTGAAGGCAATCGGACACTTACATCACATTTTATGAGAGTTATAATTATTCAAAATGTTGACCCTTGTGGGGTGGTATTTGATTTCCTACCATTTTCGCACCTGACCCGATGCACTGATGTAAATATTAGGAAGCGCAAAGTTGAAGCAAAATCGGATTATCCTTTCTCTTTCTGTGCAATAAATGATATTCTTTGAAAATGTTGACAGTTTGTGTGGGAGATACCGGAAGGAGTGGAACGATATTTCCCATCTCCGAATTCGGTATAAGTTTGACAATAATATTACGATATACCAAGTTTGGAACAATTCGGATACTCCCTTCGAGAGTTATCCTGCGCAGTAGCCACACAGACAGACAGACGGATGGACGGACGGACATCGCTAGATCGACATCAAATGTCCTGAAAAGGATTTAGTCCAAATATACCTAGGGCCTAAAACCGTTACTTCGATGAGTCTCGTTTTGGCCGTATCAAATGATGTATCCTCTCTCTAGCCATATGGTGGCTGAGGGTATAAAAATATGTTCACCTTTTACACCAAAAAGTCTCCAAAATCGTTCATTTCGAACTTGACCGAAGAGTATTTTTCCAATTTTTTCCATCCATAACTATTTCAACATCCCCATATTTGTAAAGCCTAGAGACCAACAATGATATCAATACCAAATTTAAGGGTTCCATTCCTTCACCCAACGCCCACCACTTGGTACTTTGACTAGAGAGGGTAGGGTAAATATCATTTGATACGGTCAAAACGTGCCTCATCGAAATAAGGGTTTAAGACCCTAGGTCTCTTTGTCCCAAATCCGTTTCAGGACATTTGGAGTCGATCTAGCGATCTAGTCCGTCCGTCATGGCTGGCTGGTGCGCACGATAACTTTCGAAGGGATTATCCGATTTGATACAAACTTTGTACATCGTAATATTATTATCAAACTTAAATCGAGTTCGGAGATGGGCAATATCGGTCCACTCCTTCTGGTACCTCCCACACAAAACGTCGAAATTTTCAAAGAAAATAATTTATTGCACAGAAAGAGAAAGGATAACCCGATTTTGTTTTAAACTTGCGAATTTGAATGTTTGCATCAGTGCTAGGTCAGGTGCGAAAATGGACAATATCGGTCCACTCGATTAAGTATCTCCGTCCGCCTGTCTGCCCGTCTGTCCATTGGTCTGTCCATCTGTCTGCTGACATCACGATACAGCCCACATTATTTGATGTAGAGTGTCAAAATTTAGCAGAATAATTTGTATTGTGTCTAGAATGGTTGGTATTGAAAATGAGATATATCGGTCCACGTTTTCGTATAGTCCCCATATAACGGTACCTTCCGCTATACGGTATTTTGATGATTTTTGACACATTTTTTCACGGATTTGTCTGAAAATTGGTATTTGTAGGTCATAATGGATCCTACTTCGTGTGGCGAAAAATTGTATGTATGGGGCCAGGCTTTGGTATAGCTCCCATATAACGGTACCTTCCAATATTCGGTATTTTGATGATTTTTGCCCCATTTTGTCACCGATTTGTCTGAAAATTGGTATTTGTAGGTCATAATGGGTCCTAGTTCGTGTGGCGAAATATTGTATGTATGGGTCCAGGCTTTGGTATAGCCCCCATATAACGGTACCTCCCGATTTTCGGTATTTTGATGATTTTTGCCACATTTTTTCACGGATTTGTCTGAAAATTGGTATTTGTAGGTCATAATGGGTTCTAGCTCCGGTGGCGAAAGATGGCATGTATAGGTCCACGTTTTGGTATAGCCCCCCATATAACGGTACCTCCCGATTTTTGGTATTTTGATGATTTTTGCCACATTTTTTCACGGATTTGTCTGAAATTTGGTATTTGTAGGTCATAATAGGTCCTAGTTCGTGTGGCGAAAAATTCTATGTATGGGGCCAGGCTTTGGTATAGCCCCCATATAACGTTACCTCCCGATATTCGGTATTTCGATGACTTTTGCCACATTTTTTCACGCATTTGTCTGAAAATTGGTATTTGTAGGTCATCATGGGTTCTAGCTCCGGTGGCGAAACATGGCATGTATAGGTCCGCCTTTTGGTAAAGCTCCCATATAACGGTACCTCCCGATTTTTGATTTCTGCCTCATTTTTGATGATTTCTGCCTCATTTTTTTCACGGATTTGTCTAAAAATTGGTATTTGTGTGTCCTAATGGGTTATGGATGTGGTGGCGAAACATCGCATGTATAGGTCCACGTTTTGGTATAGCCCCCATATAACGGTACCTACCGATTTTTGGTATTTTGATGATTTTTGCCACATTTTTTCACGGATTTGTCTGAAATTTGGTATTTGTTGGTCATAATGGGTTCTAGCTCCGGTGGCGAAATATTGTATGTATGGCCAGGCTTTGGTATAGCTCCCATATAACGGTACCTCCCGATATTCGGTATTTTGATGATTTTTGCCACATTTTTTTTTCACGGATTTGTCTGAAAATTTGTATTTGTTTGTCATAATGGGTTCTAGCTCCGGTGGCGAAACATGGCATGTTTAGGTCCGCCTTTTGGTAAAGCTCCCATATAACGGTACCTCCCGATTTTTGGTATTTTGATGATTTTTGCCACATTTTTTCACGGATTTGTCTAAAAATTGGTATTTGTTGGTCATAATGGGTTATGGATGTGGTGGCGAAACATCGCATGTATAGGTCCACGTTTTGGTATAGCCCCCATATAACGGTACCTCCCGATTTTCGGTATTTTGATGATTTTTGCCACATTTTTTCACGGATTTGTCTGAAATTTGGTATTTGTAGGTCATAATAGGTCCTAGTTCGTGTGGCGAAAAATTCTATGTATGGGGCCAGGCTTTGGTATAGCCCCCATATAACGTTACCTCCCGATATTCGGTATTTTGATGACTTTTGCCACATTTTTTCACGCATTTGTCTGAAAATTGGTATTTGTAGGTCATCATGGGTTCTAGCTCCGGTGGCGAAACATGGCATGTATAGGTCCGCCTTTTGGTAAAGCTCCCATATAACGGTACCTCCCGATTTTTGATTTCTGCCTCATTTTTGATGATTTCTGCCTCATTTTTTTCACGGATTTGTCTAAAAATTGGTATTTGTGTGTCCTAATGGGTTATGGATGTGGTGGCGAAACATCGCATGTATAGGTCCACGTTTTGGTATAGCCCCCATATAACGGTACCTACCGATTTTTGGTATTTTGATGATTTTTGCCACATTTTTTCACGGATTTGTCTGAAATTTGGTATTTGTTGGTCATAATGGGTTCTAGCTCCGGTGGCGAAATATTGTATGTATGGCCAGGCTTTGGTATAGCTCCCATATAACGGTACCTCCCGATATTCGGTATTTTGATGATTTTTGCCACATTTTTTTTTCACGGATTTGTCTGAAAATTTGTATTTGTTTGTCATAATGGGTTCTAGCTCCGGTGGCGAAACATGGCATGTTTAGGTCCGCCTTTTGGTAAAGCTCCCATATAACGGTACCTCCCGATTTTTGGTATTTTGATGATTTTTGCCACATTCTTTCACGGATTTGTCTAAAAATTGGTATTTGTTGGTCATAATGGGTTATGGATGTGGTGGCGAAACATCGCATGTATAGGTCCACGTTTTGGTATAGCCCCCATATAACGGTACCTCCCGATTTTCGGTATTTTGATGATTTTTGCCACATTTTTTCACGGATTTGTCTGAAAATTGGTATTTTTAGGTCATAATGGGTTCTAGCTCCGGTGGCGAAACATGGCATGTATAGGTCCACGTTTTTGTATATATAGCTGTACCTTCCGATATTCGATATTTTGATGATTTTCACATTTTCCCACGAATATGTCTAAAAATTGATATTTGTGGGTCATAATGGGTTCTAATGTTTCTTTTACCTTACCCTAAGGTGAAGGGTATTAAAAATTCGGCTCTTCCGAACTTATTTCTTTTTTTTTTTTTTTTGATTTTTCGTTCTTAGTCACACCTCAAAGGTCATGTCACATGGCTTTTGTTTTCTTTTGTTCCTTCTCCCATTTTGTTCTTTTGTTTATTTCTTATCTTCTCCCCATAATTGTTGTTAATTTTATTCTTCAAATTCGAACCACAAAAACCGCAAATTTATTTATTATTTTTTTTTTTCGTTTTGAATAAAAATTCATTCCTGACCTACCTTAAGCCGGAGTTGATTGGCCCCACAACTTGGAGGGGGGGTAATTAGCTGGAAGGTGCTAATGTTTGCTATGCTTCAAATGAAAGTCAGTCGGGGTATTATTTGTTTGTTGCTCTTTGTGTTGTTGTAATTTAGTTAGCATAAGATGTATATTTTAAATGAAGCTATTTACTTAACAATTATAACGTTTTACTTACCATCTTCTCACTCTCTCTCTCTCTTTCTCTTTTTTTGCAGATAAAAAATAGCCTATATGTGCTGCCTTGGTGTTTGGATAACAACAAATAAAAGTAAGTTTTTGGAAAAATTTTGAGAATTTTAAACAGAAAATTTAGATTTTTTTGGTTTAATTTTGAAATTTTTTAGAATTGTTAGAAGAATTTATGTGATGGGGATATTTAGACATATTTTGAGTTATATTTACATTTTAGTGAGATATACCGGCAAATAATGAGAAACCGATAAAAGTATCGATATTTTTGGTCCTTCGAGATGATTTTTTTTTTCGTCGAATCTCACTAAAATGTTAATATAATTAGAAATTTAGGCAAATTTGCAAAACAGATTAAAAACCAATCTTAAAAAAGTATTAGTCGGTTTTGCTGACAGATGTATACCCCCTCAGCTAATATTCGATTATTTGAATATATTTTGAATTCTGTTATGAGTATTCAAATTGTTGACCCTCTTTGTAGTAGCTTCCGACTGAATGAGCCAATATAGGCCATTTCGAATCGGACCTAAATAAATATGATATAAATATAGCGACGTGCCACGTTAGGAGATTTAAGTATTTACAATTGTAATCGTTTTTGGGGAAGGAGTTACCAGAAGGGGTCGGCCGATATCTATCATATTCATACCATATCTTGAGTTAGTAGAAATATTGAGATGTGCGAAGTTTAAAAATGATTGGATGCTAATATCGAGTTTTATGGGCTTTTTAGCAATTCAGAAAGTTTGATCCTCTCGTGGGGAGAGGTACCAGCAGGAGAGGACCGACATATTCCATCTTCACAGCAGTTCTGGTGTTAGTAGAAATAATGGGATGTGCGAAATATAAAGAGAACCGGATGCTTATTTCGGATTTTATGATCGTTTTGGTTATTCAAAACTGTTGACCCTTTGCGGGGGAGGTACCAGAAGAAATGGTCCGATCTCTACCATCTTTATAACAGATCTTGCCTTGATAGAAATATTGACATGTGCTAAGTCTGAATGGAATCGGATGTTAATTTTGCGTTTTGTGAGCTTTATGGATATTCAAAATTTTGACCCTTTGTGAGGGAGATACCAGAAGGAGCGGACCGATATATTCCAACTTCACACCAGACCTTGGGTTTATAAAAATATTCTGATGATTGCAATTTAAAGAAACCCGGATGCATATTTCGGATTTTATGATCGTTTTGGTCATTCAAAAATGTTGACCCTTTGTGGGGGAGGTACCAGAAGAAATTGTCCGATCCCTACCACCTTTATAACAAATCCTGTGTTGATGTAAATATTGAGATGTTCCAGGTCTGATTGGAATCGGATGTTAATTTCGCATTTTATAAGCTTCACGGATATTCAAAATATTGCCCCTATGTGGGGGAGGTACCCCAAGGAGTGGACCGTTATTGTCCATTTTCGCTACTGACATAGCACTGATGAAAATATTTGAATTTACAAAGTTAGAGCAAAATCGGATCGTCCTTTCTATTTGTCTGAAGTAAAATATTTTTTTTTTTTAAATTCGACCTTTTGTGGGGGAGTTACTAGAAGGAGTGAACCGATATATTCCATCTTTTTACCAGAACTTGGAATAATAAAAATATTGGGATGTGTAAAATTTGAAGACAATCGGACTCTTACATCACATTTTATAAGACTTATATTTATTCAAAATTTTGACCCTTTGTGGGGGAGGTACTTGATGGAGTAGACCGATATTGAAAAATCGGATTATCCTTTCTCTTTCTGTGCAAAAAATATTTTTTGTTTTGCAAATTTCGACTGTTTGTGGGGGAGGTACCAGAAAGGGTGGACCTATTTTGCCCATCTTAACACCAGACCTTGGGTTAATATAAATATTGGGATGTGTAAAATATGAAGACAATCGGACTCTTACATCACATTTTATAAGACTTATATTTATTCAAAAATTTGACCCTTTGTGGGGGAGGTACTTAATGGAGTATCCCGATATTGTCCATTTTCGCACCTGAAATAGCACTGATGAAAATATTAAGATTTGCAAAGTTGGGGTAAAATCGGATTATCGTTGCTCTTTTTTCTGTGCAGTAAAATATTTTTTTTGCAAATTTCGACTATTTGTGGGGGAGGTACCAGAAAGGGTGGACCGATTTTGCCCATCTTAACACCAGACCTTGGGTTAATATAAATATTGGGATATTTTTAATTTGAAGACAATCGGAATCTTACAGCACATTTTATAAGAATTGTAATTATTAAAAATTTTGACTCTTTGTGGGAGAGGTACTTGATGGAGTGGTTCGATATTGTCCATTTTCGCACCTGACCTAGCACTGACACAAATATTAGGATTTGCAAAGTTGGAGCAAAATCGAATTATCGTTGCTTTTTCTGTGCAGAAAATATTTTTTTTTTAAATTTCGACTTTTTGTGGGGGAGGTACTAGAATGAGTGGGCCGATATTGCCCATATCCGAACTCGATCTAAGTTTGACAAAAATATTACTATATACCAAGTTTGGACCCAATCGGATACTCCCTTCGAGAGTTATAGGGCGCACCATCCAGACAGACAGACAAAAAGACGGACAGACACGCTGATACCTCTAGATCGACTCCAAATGTCCTGAAATGGATTTGTTCCAAAAAGTCCTAGGGTCTAAAACCTTAATTTCGATAAGGCACGTTTTGGCCGTACATACTCTTTAAAAAAATTGGTGAAATAATCATCAATTAATTTTGGAACCGTCATATATATTTCAAATAAAACAAGTAAAAGAGCATCTAATTTCGAAGCAGAACTTTTAATGCCCTCCACCATTTGGGAAGAACTTGAAAATTTTTATAAAAAATTCATCGAAAATTAAAGAAAAACCCGTTACATAAGGGGTTGGACGAACTGGAGAACCTACGTTAGCATTTTTTTTTGTCATTGGTTGTTGTAACGATTCCGAAAATTGAATACGAAATTTGAAACAATTCCGTTGAATAATGCCCCTATAATCATTAAACTACCGAATATCGGGAGGTATCGTTATATGGGGCTATAAGAAGACGAGGCAATTTTTTATTATAGGCCCGCTAAGATCTTCCAATTCGAAAAAAATCCGGTAAACAATTTCGGTAACATCATCAAAATACCGTATAAAGGGAGGTGCCGTTATATATCGGTTAAATGAAGACGAGGACCTGCATAGGCAATTTTTTGTTATAGCATGATTTACCCATTGCGAACTTCAAATTCGAAATTTGAAACAATTTCGGTGAATAGTGTCTCCAAAATCAGAAAAAATACGGAATATTGGGAGTTGACCTGTACAGACAATTTTCTGTCATAGGCTGTAGTATCCATTTTGAACTTCAAATACCAAATTTGATACAATTCCGGTGAATAATGTCGCTAAAATCATCAAAGTACCGAATATCGGGAGATACGAAGACGTAGACTTGCACAGACAATTTTCTGTCATAGGCTGTAGTATCCATTGCGAATTTCAAATGCGATATTTGAAACAATTCCGGTGAATAATGTCGCTAAAATCATCAAAATACCGAATATCGGGAGGTACCGTTATATGGGGGCAATACGAAGACGTAGACTTGCACAGACAATTTCTGTCATAGGCTGTAGTATCCATTTTGAACTTCAAATACCAAATTTCAAACAATTCCGGTGAATAATGTCGCTAAAATCCTCAAAATACTGAATATCGGGAGGTACAGTTATGTGGGGGATATATGCAGATATGTGGACCTGCACAGACAATTTTCTGTCATAGGCTGTAGTATCCGTTACGAACTTCAAATACCAAATTTTAAACAATTCTGGTGAATAATGTCGCTAAAATCATCAAAATACCGAATATCGGGAGGTACAGTTATGTGGGGGATATATACAGATATGTGGACCTGCACAGACAATTTTCTGTCATAGGCTGTAGTATCCGTTAAGAACTTCAAATACCAAATTTTAAACAATTCCTGTGAATAATGTCGCTAAAATCATCAAAATACCGAATATCGGGGGGTACCGTTATATGGGGGCTACATGAAAACCTGGACCTATATGACCCATTTACGAATCGGCTTAGAAATTTTACGCTGATCAAGAATATATATATATACTTTATTGGGTGTGACATGAGTATTTCGAGGAGTTACAAACGGAATGACAAAATTAATATACCCTCCATAGTATGGTGGAGGGTATAAATAGGATGGCATATTAAAAAAATTCTCAATTACTTTAAAAAATTGTTAGCCTTAATAGAAAACTCCTTTGTTTTGGGTGATTCGCTGTGGCTAATCAATGAAAAATGGGAACAGTTGCCACAAATTAGTAGTAGCCTGCTAAGCCATTCAAAGTTTAATTGAAGCTGCGGCAGAGATTGCCTCTTAATCAAGAGGCTTCGCCGCCAATCTCTTGGGCTTCTCAGCCCACTTTAATTTCCATTATTAATATTCGCATATCTTTTTTTTGGGAATATTCTTTTGTTTTGCAGTCGCCACAGAATTTATGATTGCCACAATTGTATGAATGGCGGAGGCAAGGCAGCCAACCCAAATGCATAGATGTTTGTGATTTTCTTTGAGATTTACATATTTTTATGTTATTTTAAATGTCTGGTGGTACTCGACGCCGTCGCCATCGTTCTCGTTGCTCGACAACAATCCGCCGTGGCTATTTTCGCAAAAATGGCTATCATTTAAGTGCTGGCTCTCGTCTCAAATCCTCAGCATGCATGATAAATATTTTCGTCTATTTGTTTAAATGTAGTACAAAAGGCAATTATTATTATTTTTATTTGTTGCAACATTTAAAGTGAATCCGGAGAGGGGACAATGGGAGAATATTTTTTTATTAGATTTGGTTTTTTTTTTGCGGGACCATTTATATTAAATTTAGCTTACCGGCACCTTGAAAAAAATGCAGGAAGCATAAATAGCAGCACTGTAATATCACTTAAGTGCCAAATATTGTGGCAGGTATGAGCTGTAGATGGCTCTAAGGGTGCTAATTAAACTTTTGGTTCTTAATTCCCCCCAAATTGTTTTAACTTCTGCAATAAATTTCGAATCATCAAAATGCCGAA